CTTTATGTATATCAATTATATACATCAATTGATATACATAAAGCACCTGGAACATATGATTATTTGGATTACTATTTATTTTTTTCCTGGCTTGTTAAAAGTGCCCTGTCAAAAGTGATTTTCACACAAATCAATAAAAAAAATAACAAATGTTGGTGAGGTTGTGGGGAGCTGGAGGTCTTATACCCTGTTGGTGGGAACACAACATGATGCAACCATTATGGAAACAGTTTGACGCTTCTTCAAGAAGCTAGAAATAGAAGTGCTATATGATGTAGCCATCATACTCATAGGTATATATCCCAAAGAAATAAGAGCTATAACACCCATGCTTATTATAGTATTATTTACAAAGGCAAAAAGATGAAAACAACCTAAATGCCCATCCCCAGCGGGATGGGTGTATAAACTGTGGTATGTGCACACGATGTAATACTATGCAATGATAAAGAATAACAGCAAATCCATGAAACAACTCATAACACAGATGAATTTGGAGGATATCATGCTAAATGAAATAAGTGAAACAAAAGAACAAATATTTTACGAGACCACTGTTATAAAACAAATCAAGAAATTATCTACATTCAGGGGGAAATTATTTGATTGGGAGAGGAAGAATTATTAACTAGATAGAATATACTCGTTAGTAATGGCGAAGAGAAAGGCAATGAATAAAATAGGGTCGTGGAGGAGCGTCAGCACAACAGGACCAAGGCAAAGGAAGACCCTGCAAGAAACACAAGGATGAAGGATAATGGCCATAATAGAGACAGACAATAATTTACAAGTGGGTGCATAGGTAGACAGGTATGCTGAAGATTGTGTTAGTCCAGGTAGACTAGAGAAACAAATTCATGGACACTGATATGTATATGAGAAATAACTTTACATACAAGAGCAATTGAATATTGAGAAAACATCCCAGCCCAATCCAGATCAAACCCATAAGTCCAATATTAGCCCATATGTCCGCTACCAATTTACAACTTCCACTTCAAACTCACAAAACACATGCAATGACGCTGAATGCAGGAAGATCACAGGCCAGTGAATGGACAGTCTTGTGGCTCTAGTAATGGTGGAAGCATCTCAGTGCTGGCCTTGGTCTCCACATGGCTCCTCCAGCTCCAGGGTTCTCGCTGCCATCAGCATAGCTTCAGGTGTCGTGTCAGTAGAGTCTCTCAGGGAGGGAGACTGTGTCCTACCTCCAACGAGCTATTTATCTCCTTAGCGCTTCCACATGAGGTCATCAAGCTGTGACCTGATTGACAGGTAAGCTCCACCCCTTCACATGTAAGGCTCTCTCAGATTGACAACAGATTATGTAACTACCACAATAATCAAACCCCGATGGGATAAAGTTCCTAGGCTCAAAGGTGAAGGGCCACAGACTCGGACATTTATGTCAACTAGCACAACGGTTTGTAAAGACAATGTTCTGCATCCTGCTTTGGTGAGTACTGTCCGGGTGCTCAAAAGCTTGCAAGCAGCCATCAAAGATACAACTCTTAGCATCCCGAGCAATGGAGAATGAAGAGAACCAAAGACTTAACGAAGCAGTTCATTCAGGGGACCAGTGGACCACATGAACCACAGCCTGCATGATGCTGGAACCAGAAGAACTAGATTGTGCCTTTGGGGAATGAACAGCCCTTTCACAGGGTCACCCGATTCATAACTACCAAAAGTACAGTGATGAAGTAGCAACGAAAATAATTTTATGGTTGGGGTCACCACAACATGAGGAACTGTCTGAAAGGGTCGCAGCAGTAGGAAGGTTGAGAACCACTGCTCTAGAGGAACGCGTTCCTTAGAACAATCAGTTGCTTGAGTTCAAAAGAACAGTACTGGCCCAAAAGCAAAGATGAAAAGGTAAGAAGGGGGTTAAGTGTCTCCTTTTTTTATTCACACATCTTTCTTCCCTTTCCCAGGTGCTGGCCCTTGCCCATAATCAGGGACTGGGTACATACTTCCTCATTGAATGGGCTCTATAGACTGATGAACTTGATGTCTAGTAAAGAATGGACTAGCTTGAGCTGATGCCTCCTCATGCAGAACTGTGCATTTAAACAGCTGGACTTCCATCTATGCCTAATTCTCATGCCATCGAGTCCGATTCTGACTCAGAGTGATCTGACAGGACAGGCTAGCGCTAACCCTGGGCATTTCGGAGGCTGTCCATCTCTACTGAGGCAGAAGGCCTCCTCCTGCTCCTCCGAAGCTACTGTTGGGTTCCCACTGCGCACCTTTCAGCTAGCAGGCCGACTGTGGCCCGCAAAGCCGTCAGGGCATAGATGACCGTGTATGTGAGGAATGGCAGGGTCCGTCAGAAAGTTTTGCTATGAAATCATAGGACCTCTTATTCAACAAAACTATCAAGACAAGAAGTTTGATAGTTGTTTCATAACACATCTTCCATCTAGGTCTATTCCATTCCAAAGGCAGTCTGTTCATCGCTCTAATCCTGAGAATTTATCACTCTTCAATTTAGGCGATTTCAAAATGGCAATTTCGGCATCCTCAAAAGACCCAGATCGGGCAGGGGAATAAAAAAAAAAAAAAGACCCAGATCATGTTCCTTTTACATGTTTTTTGGAGCTTTGAAAATACAATGAAATCTGAAGGAATTTCAGGGATGTAGGTAGATGGGATAAGATTTGCCTTCTTGTAAGACCATCCTTGCTTGCTACCCTTGAAATATGAGCAGATGATGCATTGTCATGCTGGGGAAAAAACTCCTCCACCAACTTTCCTGGCCTGTTCCTCATGAATTTCCTAATAAGCCCCCATGACTGTCCTGTGTAATTAGAGGGAATCTTTCAAGATTTCTGTCTTCCCCAGAAAATAGTTGCTCTCCCTTTGAAGATAACATCTCTGCCTGCAGTTGATCTGCCCAACAGATCCCTTTGGAAGCCGCTGTTCTGATTGGATTTTTTGAAGATACTCTAACAAGACTAGCCCACTGTTGCTAACTTTTAGCAACTTTATAAGACAGAGTAGAACTGCTGCTAGTAGGTTTCCAGGGCTGTAAATCTATGGGAACAGATAACCCCGTCCTTCTCTGTGGTGTGGCCGGTGGGTTTATACCACTGGACTTTCAGTTAGTAACCCTGTGCTTAACCCACTGTACCACCAGGGATTCATAACAAGACTTAATGGGCTCATTGAGAGACATTGTCTGTAGCCACCCAGGGATTGCAGAGACGTGTTAAACATGTTTTGTTTGTAATAATTGTGCAGATATGAACTGTAACCCTAGTAGCAATGTTTTTACTTAACTTTGTATACCTTTTGAGTTCTATCTCACATGTTCCTCTGATTCTATCAGGATTCAAAATGTAGTGCTAACCAGGCACCATCTCGTTCTTCCAGTCATAGGTAGATGAGGCCATGGTGCTGGCTCCTAGTCCTATAGACTACTTTGCTCTCGCAGTCTTTGGGTCCCTTCTTTCCCTCTTTGTCTAGACTAGTAGAGACCAGTCATGGTATCTTAGATGGCTGCTCACAAACTTGTAGCACTCTACACACCACAGCCACCCTGGGGTATAGAGTATATACTTTGTGAACAATATTATGCCAGTTCTCTGGGTTGTCCCATAAGACTAGGTATGACCTTAAGCTTTTAAAGTTAGAAAACCATTCTCATGAGGTGCTTAGTTATATCTTAGTAGTATCTGCCACTGTGCCTTAATGGCTTGTGTGTTAGTCTTGGGACGCTAGAGAAACAAATCCACAGAAACTCATGTATAAAAGAGAGTTTTATATAAAGATTAAGCACATCAAGAAAACATCCCAACCCAGTGCTGCCCAAGCCCACAAGTCCAACATTAACCCATATGTCTAACACCAATCCACAAAGTCCTCCTCCA